TGACCCCCCATTCCTGACCCCCCATTCCCCACCGCTGGGCTCCCCCTGTTACAGGCCCTTGGCGACCCCCGTGTCCCCCTCTGTGGGGTGGGCATGGGGGTGTCCTCTGCTTGTGGGATGACAGCAGTGGGGTAACCCCCTCGCCCCCCTGGTTGTGGGGCAGGAGCAATGGATTTCCCCCCAAAAAACCCCCATTTTGCCACAAAGGGAGCCAGTTCCTCCCTGTGGGGAGGAGGGGGCGGAGGGGCGCCCTCCTCATCCTCACGGTGGGCTGAAGGCCGGGCCGTGTCTCCCACCCACGCGGGCAGCGGGAGGCCCACGCGGGGCCTGTTGTGTGCCGCGGCTCTCCTGCCCTTCCGAACGCTGCGAGGGGGAAAGCGGCTAAATCCCGGGTGGAAATAGAGGGTGGAGGCGTCCACCTGCCTGGTGTGGTGGAAACGGAGAGAGTCGATGAGTGTTGTGAGAGGAAAATACGATCTACCCTCCGTTTCCCACGTGTGCCCCAGTCCCACATGCCCCTGGCTGTAGTTCTTGCAGAGCTGGTGTTTCAATTTGGGGGGTTTTGGCCAGGGAGCTCTCATGGAGCTCAGCCTGGCAGGGCCCCATCGGAGCTGATAACGTACTCAAAATAACAGAGTGGGGAGCAATGGTTGGTGTCTGCAGTGGGTTACGGCGTTTCATAGGGACTTCTGTGTGTGTTTGTTTTCAGAGAAAGAAAGGGGAAGCAGTGAATTTGGATAGCCAGTTATTTGGGATAGCTAGAACATAGTTGCATAGAGACCAGGTGTTCTGGGAAGAGCAAGGATGCTGACATGGTATAGGTGGTGTGAGGTGGAGGTAACGAAGCAGAGCTCCCAGCAGCTGCTTCTGCGTTAGCTTTTACTATCCGGGAAAGATTTTTGGTGTCTCCAAGCCCGTTCCACTTAAAACACGAGTTCAACGCCCAGCTCTAGCTGGAAAAGTTGGAATCACTTAAAAGGAGCAGAGAACGAAGCAGAAAATAGCATTATACCAATGTGAGTACTGTTGGCAGCTCGTGTGCTGGGTCTGGTTTGTGCCTTTGGTTAGTGCCCCAAAAGGGGAATGCTGGAGAAGCTGCTAGGAGGAGCAGTGAGGATGAGCCGGTTTGTAGGCAGGTGAGGCCTGTGTTTAGTGACGACTCCCTGATGGGAGATAAGGCACAGGGGTGTGAAGTCAAGAAGAAGTCAGAAAAGTGATGTTCCCTGTTCACTTTTTCTATTTTTACAAGACATTATCATGCAGCAGGTCTGAAATAAACGGAAGTGCTTTTTCTCACAGTATATAATTAAAGCGTGGCCCTCATTGCCACGGGATGATCTGCGCTCTCATGGTGTTGGGGCAGGAGGGACCAGCAGGGAGCTTAAAAAAAGCAGCTTTGTGCCCCGGCTTTTGGGCTTGCTTTGCTGCAGCAGCTCTTGTTGCCAACCCTTCTTCATCACAGTTGTGTTTGTCTCTAATTTTCAGTGGAATTGAACAGCAGGATGTAATTCTTTGTTTTGCTCGTGTTCTTAGCAGACCTTCATCAAGGAGTTCTTAGAGATAAATCAAATTGATTTTGCATCAGGTTGTGGGATAGTGGGGTTACCTTTGCAATTAGCTTATTGTCAGAAGTGTTTTATTGTTGAGGTGCATGTTCACTCAAGCTGTGATAAAATTCATTTCATGAGCATCTTATTGCTAAATGAATAAATTTAGCTCCTATGGGCTCTACACTTTCACTGAGTCAAATCTTCCAGCTTTCCTACCTCATAGTGTGCCAACCCCTCTGTTCTTGGAGTATTTTCACTTTAAAGTGTGCACCTAAGAACTGGACAAAACTGCCTGATTACTGGGCCAGTGACTTGGTCTTTTGGATATGGGAATATTCGAATCCTTGGATGTGGGGATACTCAAATCTGTGGGCTGCTCTTAGGGAACAGGATAACTAGCCTGATCGCTGAATAATAATCACAGCTGGTTCCAAGGATGCTCCTCGTTTGTTCTGTGCCCTGGCAGGTGCTGCTGCCATCTCACACTTCAGCTGTCACCCCTGGGCCCGGGGAGCACAAGATGCTCCCGGCTCCCCTCATCCTGCATCCTCTCTCCATGCAGCTCTGGATGCTGCTTGGTCCATGGCGCTTCCATGGGCGCTTCTGTTCTCAGGACTGTTCCCATGGAGGTTGTTTCCCTTTTGTGGCACACTCCTGGCACTAGGCAGGAGTTTTCCTGTGGCAAATCGTGATGTTGTTTTGCAGGTGCTCGCGTTTCCACCTCTAAACCTAGTAAACTCCCTGCCGTTGTGTAACACGTACAAAGCTGCCTCTGCCTGCAGCTCTGCGATGCTCTCGAGCGCTGAGCTAGCAGCAGACACCTGGATGTGTGGCCAAGCCCTCGCTGATACCTAAACATCTGGTTTCCAGCACGTTCACAATGGAGCACTCATTCCCAAGGCCTTTCCTCATCCCCTCACCTGTGCAGGAGGCAGCGTGTGGTGCCTGCAGCCACCCAACACATCAAAGCCCAGCTCTATCCTGCTGCTGGGATATCCGCAGTGAGGGCAGCTACCTGCTCGTGTTGCCCTGCTCAACAGGAAGGGCTGGACTCAGGAAAGGTGCCGCTTGAGCCGATTGAGGTGCAGGCACTCCTGGTCTGAAGCGGAGGTGGTTGCGGTCGCTTCAGCTGGATGGCAGCGCTCAGGGTCTTTGGTCCATCCTGGTCAGTCCGTAGCAGCCTCGACCTGCCTCTGCTGTAGTGCTGACTACTTAAAGGAGAGACCTCTCTGCGTACAGGTCAGCGCAGAGATGGGGCGCTACTCCTCTGCCTTGCGTTGCTTCGCTGCTGAAGCAATTGTGCCCTTGCTCCAGTGCAGTCTTTGAGCCTGTCCTGGGAGTAAGTGACAGCAGCAGGGGTGCTGATGCTCTGCACAGAGAAAATGCCCCGGCGCGATATGGCTGAGCTGGCACAACCCGGGGTACCGTTAAGCCCTCCCAAAAGCCAAACAAGCTGCAACAGTAGAGCAGGGTTTTCCTTGTACAACAACATCTACGCTGCAGCTTCTGCCTGGGCAGCAGTGCTGGCATGAGGTTCAGCTCCCCCGTGCTCAGAGAAGTCTCCGGCCCTTGTCCTTCCCTGTTTTATTTCAACTGAATGCCCCTCTGAAGCAGAGGGTGGAAGAGACACTGTTGATTCAGCATCTCCATGGTAATAGCTCCCTTTGGTTCTGTTGACCACGTCAAGTGGCATCTCCGCTGTCCTTGGGTGGATTTCGCTGGAGCTGAAAACACCCAGCGTCGCTGGATTGCTCCTTGCTCGGCTTGCCCGGAACCTGCTGGGCTGCCTTGTTAAACGAGACAGGGTTCCTAAACCACAGCTGTTTCCTGTGTCTAGACAGCTTTGATTTGATATGAAAATGCCAGGAAATGGTAGGACAAGTGATGAAGAGGAAAGTTTGAATTATGAATGAAATGCTTTGCTAGCAGAAAATACAAAATGCTAGTGCGGCACTGTGAGGAGGGGCTCTCTTACTCGATGTTTTACGTGGTGATTAAAGACAGGAGGGGAAATGATGTTTTTGGATACAGAAATGGAAATGCCCTAGGAAGAAACACTCCAGCTTGCAGTTCCAAGTATGTTAGTAGGTCCTTATGGAGATGTATAGAAGAATTAGTGAGAATGCATTAAGTTGACATGCTGCTTGTACAGAGACTGGTGAACACAGCACTCCCCTTCCCTGTTTCTGTGCTGCAGCTAATTGTGCAATTCATCAGTGGCATTTGCTGCAAAATGCAGGAGCACCTTTTTAACCGTGGCATCTGCACAGCCCTCAGCAGTGCCGTCTCTGAGGGATGCTCGAGTAAATATAGGCAACTTCTACAGCCCCTTTTTGAGGACGGGGATCACCCTGTACCTGCGCCAAGCCAAGAAAGGCCATGTTCTGTCTGAGTGCAGAGCAGCAGCCTTGAGCTGCCACTGTTTGTCCCTGTCTGGAGCCTTATACATAAACGTTGGTCAGAGCCACGTAATCCTTGGCCAAGGAATATGAGCTGCTATCTGCTCACGTCTTTCCTTCTGCTTTGTTGTGGGGTTTCTGTAATAAGATGTGTGCCTAGCACTCTCCTTTGGGACTTGGAACTATTAATATTTTAAGGCTTAAAAGATTCTCCAAGATCAGCATTTTTTTGGTATTGTTGTTCTTTGAGTCACTGTTTTTCTATTAATAGTTGTGTTTGGGCACCACATGTGGGGATCTCTGTGTGTAGTTGATTTCCTTCGGTGATTTGTTTGTAGTGGGAGATGGTTATAGGGGCTTTCAGAAGCATGTGTGTATAGGTATTGTTCTATGTACTATGGAATTATTTTGGCTTGCGTCAGGTATTATTTGACATGCAGATTTTTCCTTTAGATCTGACACTTCCTCTGAGCCTCTTTCCGCTCTTTCCCAAAGGCTGGTGCCTTTTCCTGGTTTGGCTTTTGCCTCCTCGCAATCATTTGAGGAATGATTTGTTTCATCTCGCATCTAACCTTTGAAGTTTTGGAAGTTCTCTGTTGTTCTGGTACATTTAAAAACAAAATAAGGGGGGAAAAGACCCCTTTGGGGAAAAATGTCAAACAAAAGGGTCTGATTGTGGAAATGTCCCATTTCTCTGGTACCTTGTTACTTCATAACTGTTCTCAGAGGAGCCCCGGGTTCATTCTGGTCTTGGTGCCCTGACTACAGGGCACCCAACCAGCGACCCGCAGGTGCTGCCCATGTCCTGCAACTCCCTCCGTGTCTCTCCCATTTGCTCCGCGGTGCTTCCCCTGTCTCCAGAGGCAGCTGCAAATGTGACTCAGTCACATCCTCTTTTGGGATCTCTCTGGCTTCATTAACTGGGTGAGGATTAATCATATTAAGATCTTAATTGGTTGGACTTTGTGCCTAATACGGCGCGGCGTCGGTGGCAGCTTGGGACCGCTTTCCTGCGGAGCGTGAGGGTTTGGAGCGGAGAGAGGCTCTGGCTGGACATGCCGGCTCTGTCGGGAACTCGGCCGCCTCGGAGCGTTCTTGTGATGGGCCCTGTGCTGCTCACTGGGATGCAGGTTGACAGGAGCCAGCAGCACTTGGCCACTGGCTCCGCTTGCATAATCTCTGGTGACAGGTATGTTCATGCAAGATGGACTGTGAATAATTCAGGGCTTTGGAGGTCATTTGAAATCTGAAATTTTCTCCTCTCTCCAAAGCCCAGCGGGGAGAGGTGCTTGTGTTTCATTCCCTTTGCTGATGGGTTGGATGTGTCTCTTCTTCCTCCAGTTCCTGCGAGGCAGTTCCTGAGACACCGCAGCCATGTCCGACTTTGTAGAAAGCGAAGCTGAGGAGTCTGAGGAGGAGTACAACCAGGAAGGGGAGGTTGTGCCCAGAGTAAACAAGAAATTTGTAGAGGAAGATGAGGATGGTGAGTCTGCTTTTCTGTTCCGAGTTTGCCAAATTGTCCGTGTGCCTCACTGCTGTGTTCTACGTGCCACGTCTCTGCAAATGAAGCAATAACTGCAATAATAACATGGTTGTCTGCAGTCTCTCAGCTGTTGAAGTTCTTCCTTTCCTCAAAGTCCTGAGGTGATTTTTATAT